TCCCTGCTCATCGTCATCCTGTCCTGGGTCTCCTTCTGGATCAACATGGACGCCGCACCGGCCCGCGTGGCCCTGGGCATCACCACCGTCCTCACCATGACGACGCAGAGCTCAGGCTCCAGGACCTCACTGCCTAAGGTGTGCGTGTATGTGTGTGTGTGTGTGTGTGTGTGTGTAAAAGGCCTCACGCTGCACACACTGTGAGGACTGTTGTTACCTGACTGCATGTAGATGAAGGATAATATTAGTGCGACATGTTGTTCGTTGTGAGGCTGTAATGATGACGCGGTTCACAGTAGGCGGTCCTCAGCCGCCGCTGCGTCCAGCAGAGGTGATGCTGCACGTCTCCTCTTCTCTCCTGCAGATTCATCCAACCATCCTTCTTTCTTTCCTTCCATCACAGACTCAGTATTTATTTCTGTAGCACATTTAAAAAGGCTGGTGTCCATCAATCATCCATCGTGCTTCACACGAGGCAGATTCCAACGAATGGCAACAAAAACAGTTAATAAACAGGTTTAGTTACAGTTACAGTTACAGTTACATAGCACACATGCAGACCGGGTGGAAGTCCAAACTAATTTGCTTCAAAGGTGGAACAGCTGAGTGTTTAAATGATTGACATGCGGCGTTTAGGTGCAGCCACTGCAGAAGCTCGGTCCCTCTGGTCTTTGGTCGGGCCTTTGTTGCACGAAGAGCAGTTAGTTAGAGGATCTGAGGATCTCTTGGGGCTCTACACATCGAGAAGGTCTGCTAGGTGAGGTCTCTTTAAGCTTTTGGTTGGTGGTTTCCTACATGTGGATAAAAAGCTCCGCCTGTGTTTCAGCTGCAGTTAGGTTGGTGTTTGGAGCGTGGAGCGTTAGGTTGGTTGACTCAGGCGTGTGAAGCGTAGGGGGAGTCACAGCCTCATCACAATATTCAGTTTGCAATAATGATAAAAAGGATGTTCTTGGTGCTGTCAGCTCGCAGGCACGAGCGTCTGTGTGTAAATAAATGATGATTGCCGTCACTGATGATACGCTACCTAATTCAAAGTGTGAACCTCTCCCAGCTGCCAGCAGCACAGCGTTACAGTGCAGCTATTCAAACGTCAGCGCAGAAGAAACCGACTCTCACTCTTCAGGAGAAAGTCCTGCTTTTGCTCCACGGAGCTGCATCAAGAACTTAAATCCACCTTTTGTCTCGTGGAGCCTGCGAGTGATGCTCGGTGCAGTGATTTGTTTCGTTTCGGTCACACATCACCAGCTCTCAGCGTCTCCTCTGCTGCT